GAGGAGCCTGCTTTTCCCTCTCCCTCTGCCTCTCTCCCTGCTCATGCTCTGTCTCTATCTCTTTGTCTCAAATGAATAAATAAAATCTTAAAAAAAAAAAAATTAAAAAAAAAATCAAGAAGCAGAAGCAACCCAAATGTCCACGAACAGATAAATGGATAAAGAGAATGTGGTATATACAGTTGACCCTTGAACAATGCGGGGGCTAGAGGTGCCAACCCCTCACGTAGTCCAAAATCTGCATGTAACTTTTGACTCCCAAAATTTAACTACAAATAGCATACTATTGACCAAAAGCCTTATCAACAACATGAACAATTAGCAAATATTTTGTATGCTATATATATTACACACTGTACAATAAAGTAAGCTAAAGAAAATGCTATTAAGGAAATTTGTAAGAGAAAATACGTTCATAGTACTACACTGCATTTATTGAAAAAAAAAAAAAATTCCATGTGAGTGGACCCACGCAGTTCAAACCCGTGTCAACTGTACATACACTTGAATATTATGCAGCCTTAAAAAAAAAAAAAAAGGAAATCTTGTTGCACGCTACAACATGGGTGAATCTCAAAGACACTATGCTAAGAAAATAAGCCAGGCACAAGAGGACAAATACTGTATGATTCCACTCCTATAGAGTATCCAAAGTAGTGAAAATCAGAGAAAGCAAAAAGGGGATTACCAAGGGTCAGAGGGAGCATGGAGGAGGATTTAGTGTTTAGTGGGTGCAAGTTTCAATGTTGCAGGATGCGAAAGGTCTAGAGAGCTGTTGCACAATAATGTGAACACACTTAATGCTACTCAGATGTACACTTAAAAATGGTTAAGATGGGGGCACCTGGGTGGCTCAGTCGGTTCAGCGTCTGCCTATGGCTCAGGTCATGATCCCAGGGTCGTGGGATTGAGCCCTGCAAAGGGTCGTGGGATTGAGCCCCGCATCAGGTTCCCTGCTCATCGGGGAGCCTACTTCTCCCACTCCCTCGGCTTGTGCTTGTGCATGCTCTCTCTCCCCCTCTCTGTCACATAAATACATAAAATCTTTAAAAAATATTGGTTAAGATGGTGAATTTGATGTTGTGTGTTTTTATCACAAGAAGTTTTTTTTAACATCTATGTAACAGTACTACATAGAAGAATGAAATGAGATATCAATTTTAATCTTTGTACAACTTTTCTGTACCTTAGCATTCATATGTTAAACAAAAAATAACCTTTAAGGAATGCATTTAATTTTTAGTTACTTCCAATGAGGCCCTGAGTCTTTCAAGGTCATCCCCTTCCTAAAAGTAAGTCATTTCGTTTTACAGATATACCGTGGAAGGACTTTAACGAGCAAATAGCTGGTAGGGCTGAGAAATTAACTCTTCTTGAAGTAGGGGGTCAAATTTTCCAAAAGTAACTATTAAAATTTTACAATAAAGTTGTCATTTTTAATTTTTTAAAAAAATAAAACTTCAGTATTCCAGAACTTTATGCATTCTGTAATGACGATCTGGTCTACCTCATCTGATTTTTTTTTTTTTTTTTAAAGGTTTTATTTATTTATTTGACAGAGAGAGATACAGCGAGAGAGGGAACACAAGCAGGGGGAGTGGGAGAGGGAGAAGCAGGCTTCCCAAGGAGCAGGGAGCCCGATGCGGAACTCGATCCCAGGACCCTGGGATCACGACCTGAGCCGAAGGTAGACGCTTAACGACTGAGTCACCCAGGCGCCCCTCTACCTCATCTGATTTTAAGACCGAACAATTCAGCATTTGGACAAAATGTGAATCCAATGCGCTTTTAATTTTAAAAAATGTAAAGCAATGTAAGAAAAAGAAGAAAAAGCAAGCATAGACTAACTGCTTTATAAACCTTAGACTGGGGCGCCTGGGTGGCTCAGTTGGTTAAGTGACTGCCTTCGGCTCAGGTCATGATCCTGGAGTCCCGGGATCGAGTCCCACATCGGGGTCCCTGGTCAGCGGGGGTGTCTGCTTCTCCCTCTGACCCTCTTCCCTCTTGTGCTCTCTCTCAAATAAATAAAATCTTTAAAAAAAAATAAAAATAAACCTTAGACTGCACAATGCCCTCCCACCTGTGACTGATATATCTGACTATAGGGAAATCAAATAACTTTTGACAGTAACATATACAACAAAGCTGGAAGACAAATCTAAATGCCAAATATTTTTAATTTGTGTCACAAATCTATAACAATCTCCTAGAAATGAAAAACAATAACCCAATTTAAAGACAGGCAAAGGGCACCTGGGTGGCTCAGTTGGTTAAGCGACTGCCTTCGGCTCAGGTCATGATCCTGGAGTCCCGGGATTGAGTCCCGCATCGGGCTCCCTGCTCAGCAGGGAGTCTGCTTCTCCCTCTGACCCAACCCCCTCTCATGCTCTCTCTCTCTCTCAAATAAATAAATAAAATCTTTAAAAAAAAAATAAAGACAGGCAAAGATAAAGAGTTACTAGAAAAAGAAAGAAAACAGTCCTTAAATTAGGAAAAGGAATCAACATCAATCATAACTGAGAAGTGTACCCATTGGTCACTTACTAGACTGGCAGAAATCCGAGGTTTGAAAACCACTGTTAGTGAAGCTACTTGGAAAAGAGGGATTTACATACATAGCTGCCGGGAATGTAAAGTGATACAACCGTATAAAGAACAAATGGGCAATAATATCAAAATCACATATGCATATATCCCTTGACCCAGCAATCTCACTTGTGGAAATTTATTCTACAGATAAAGATCTGTGCAAGCAATGTTTAGGATTCACTACAGCAATGTTTATCACTGCACAAGAATGTAAATGTAGCAGAAATCCATCCACAGGGGACCGGACAAATAAATCATTATGTACTATACAACACTAACCATACAATAGAATATTATGCACTTGGGGAAAAAAAAAGAACAAAGAATGCTCTGTGTCCTGAAAGATCTCCAAGATCTACTGTTATGTGAAAGAAGATGTACAATAGAGTGTATAGAATGCCCTTTGTGGGGGATGGGATATGGTGAATTTCTATTTTTATTTGCTTGAATTTGCATAAAAAACCTCTACTTCTTGTATATTATTTTAGAACCAGTCAATGTACTATTTCTTTGTGGTAGACTGCATAATTGGGCCTAATTCTTCACCCTCCCTACATCCACATCCTTGTTATGGCCTCAGTGTGAGTGGAATGTACTGTCCCACCTCTTGACCTGGACCACATGACTTGCTTTGATCAATGAAATACGGGTGAAAACAATGGTATGCCAGTGGCTTGCAAACATACTACAAAGTCATGGTAATCGAGTCATTATGGTACTGGTATAGTAATTCACAAATTGTACACTGGACCAAAATAAAGAATCCAGAATGAGATCCCAGGATATGTTAGAGATTACCATATGACAGAGATGGGTTAAACTCAGTGGAAAAAAAGGAGTATTTAATAAATAGTACTGGTACAATTGGCTATCTATGTACTGAAAATAAAACTGGACCCATGTCTTGTACTAGGTAAACAAATTTCAGGCAGATTAAAAGTATAAAATAAATAATAAAAAAGTCTTACAAAAAAAAATTAAGAGAAGACATGCATAATCAAAGGATTAAGGAGATTTCCCTAGTGCAGTCTGGAAACATAGAAGCTAAAAAAGGAGACAAAAATTGGATGACCTAAAAATGAAAATTATTTGTATGGAACATGATACCAAAGATAAAGGCAGAAGACTAGATTAGTCTATGAAAAATATTTTCCACGTAGGATAAAAGATTAATGGAAAAATATACAAAGAGCTCTGAGATCCCACTTTTGATAATGATAAGGTGGCTTGTATCAGACCAAAGCTCTCATACAGATTACAACTACAAACTCTGGGTCAAACAACAATGGTCTGAAGGCACGGGCAATAACAGCAGCCACCACTTGGAAGAAAGAAACAGCAGTGGGTGAATGTTGCATCTCTGTTAATGTTTTGCATTCAGCTCCATGACAGAAGTCCATCACTAGTGCCAAATTCTCATCTAAACATCTCTGGCTAACCTCTGGACCATGCAAATGCTCAGCAGACTTGAAGCAGCCTGGTTAAGGCTAAAAGAATCAAACAGATTTCAGCTACTGCCCATGAAGCGGAAACAGTTTGGAGTGTTAGTTTGTCCTAGTTAACAGACCAGAAAAAAAAAATTAAAACCAAAATCCATAGTTTCTGCCACACATCATTCATAATGTCCAGAATTCAAGATTACTCAACATGACACATGAAGAGCACAAAAAATGTGACCCAAACTCAGGAGAAAAGGCAATCACTGGAAATGGCCCTAAGATAACCTAGATGTTAGAATTAGCAGAAAAGAAAAGGACTTTAAAGTAGCTACTGAAGGATATAAAGAGAGGAGCTCAGTCTGTTAAGCGTCCGACTCTTGATCTCGACTCAGGTCATGATCTCAGGGTTGTGAGATCGAGCCCCATGTTGGGCTCTGCGCTCAGCGGAGAGTCTGCTTGGTATTCTCTCTGTTCATGCGCTCTAATAAATAAATCTTTTTAAAAAAAAAAAGGAAATTCAAAAAAAAGGGGGGGGGGTGCCTGAGTGGCTCAGTCGGTTAAGCACCTGCCTTTGGCTCAGGTCATGGCTCTATCCTGAGATAGAGCCCCGCATCAGGCTCCCTGCTCAGCAGAGACCCTGCTTCTCTCTCTTCCTCTGTTCCTCCCCCTTCTTGTGCTCTCTCCCCCTCTGTCAAATAAATCTTTTTTTTTTTTTAAAGGAAATTCTAGAACTGAAAATAGAATCTCTAAAGACACTACTGGAATTCGTTTATCAGCCGATTGGAGAGGAGTCAGTGAACCTGAATCAGATCAATAGAAATTAACCAATTTGAAGAACCAAAAGAAAAAAAGATTGGGGGTAAAAAAAAAAAAAGAGGCTGTGTGACAATATCAAAAGGACTTAATGTGTGTGTAGTTGGTGTCCCAGAAGGACAGGAGAGAGAAAATGGGGCAGCACAAATCTCTGAGAAATAATGACCAAAGTTAAATTTGGCAAAAAGAGAAATTTACAGACTAAAGAAGCCCAGCAAACCCCTATCAAGATGAATACATACAGGGGCTCACTCAGTCAGTAGAGCAGCTGACTCCCGATCTCAGGATCATGAGTTCGAGCCCCACATTGGGTGTAGAGATTATTAAATGAAATGAAAAAATCAATTCTGGTTAAATCCAACAATTAAAAAAAAAAAGTTAAGTATATATAAAATCTAGCCACATCATAGACTGCTACAAACAAAAAGTCAAGAGAAAATCTGAGAGCAGCCAGAAAAAAAAATATTACATACTGGGAAGTAACCATTCAAATGACCACTAACTTCTGACCTGAACCAAGAAAATAAGACGACAGTGGAACAATCCCCTGAAAGAAACAAAATAAAACAAAACAAAAAAACAACTGTCAACCCAGAATCCTACATCCAGTGGACATATTTTTCAAGAATGAAGGCAAAAGACACTTTCAGATAAACTAAAACAAGAAGACTTCACTGTGAACAGACCTGTGCTATAAGAATTCCTAAAGGAAGTTCTTCAAGCTGAAGGGAGAGGGTACCAGAGGGAAACCCTGGTCCTCAGGAAGGAATGAACCAGAAATAGTACATATGTGGGTAAATATAAAAGCTTATCTTTTTAACTCTCTTAATTTCTTTAAAATATACCTGGCTTTTATTTATTTATTTAAAGATTTTATTTATTTATTTGACAGAGAGACAGCGAGAGAGGGAACACAAGCAGGGGGAGTGGGAGAGGGAGAAGCAGGCTTCCCGCAGAGCAGAGAGCCTGATGCGGGGCTCCATCCCAGGACCCTGGGATCGTGACCTGAGCCAAAGGCAGACGCTTAACAACTGAGCCACCCAGGCGCCCCTATTTATTTTTTTTTAAAGATTTTTATTAATTTATTTGAGAGCGAGAATGAGAGAGAGAGAGAGCACGAGAGGGAGGAGGGTCAGAGGGAGAAGCAGACTTCGCGCTGAGCAGGGAGCCCAACCTGGGACTTGATCCTGGGACTCCAGGATCATGACCTGAGCCAAAGGCAGTCACCTAACCAACTGAGCCACACAGGCGCCCTATACTTGGCTTTTTAAAGCAAAAATTATAGCCATGTATTGTGGAAACCACAGCATTTGTAGACATAATAGTATTATGAGTATAGCATAAAGTTCAAGGATGATAAAAGGGAAACTATAAGATTCCAAGGCTGTTGCACTTTACATACAGTGGTACAATGAAGTGTATGTTGTGATCCTAAGCAACCAGTAAAAAATAATGCAGGGGATGGGGCACCTGGGTGGCTCAGTCAACTGGGCGGCTCAGTCAACTGGGCGTTTGACTTTTGATATCAGCTCAGGTCTTGATCTCAGGGTTTTGATTTCAAGTCCCACACTGGGCTCCACGCCAGGTGTGGAACCTACTTAAACTAGTAATAATAATATTATTAACAATAATGCAGGGGACTATGGGGGCAACACAAAGGTTCCATATCTTAACAAGAGCATGGGTCCCGTGAACGTATATGCAATTTGCCCAAAATGATGGAACTGTATGCTTAAAATCTGTGCGTGCCACTATAAGCAATTTATATCTAATTTTTAAAGTGTTTTCATTAAAGAAAAAAGGGGGCCTGGCACAGAGTAGTTATTCAATAAATGTCAGTTATGATTGTTAGTATTCTGCTAAACAACAGAACGTCAGTTTAAGAAATCCTGTTCTTGGGGTGCCTGGGTGGCTCAGTCGGTTAAGCACCTGCCTTTGGCTCAGGTCATAACCCACGGTCCTGAGATCAAGCCCCATGTTGGGCTTCCTGCTCAGCAGGGAGTCTGCTTCTCCCTCTGCCTCTGTCCCTCTCCCCAGCTCGTGCTCACTCTCAAAAAAATATAAATAAAATCTTAAAAAAAAAAAAAAAAAAAAGGAACGAAATCCTGTTCTTTGGACATGCTTACCTTAGGGTGGTATTTAGCACATGCTTGTCCTTCTGCCTGGCATGTTCTCACCTCATACCCTTCCCTGGATGATGACTCTGCATCCCCTGGTCTTAGCCCAAATGCTGCTTCCACTGGGAGTCCTGCCTTGGCCAAATGCATTCCCTGCCAATGGCCAAATAAATGCATTCCAAAACCTGTTCTGTCCTTCCCGACGTACCGTTTTGCTCTTTCCAAGTCATCATTGGCTTGCTCTAGCTCTCTGATGTATTTCTGAAGTTGATCCTTAATTGCTTTGGTCTGGGCAAGGTCATCCTCCAAGGCTGAGATCTGCCGGTAGCCTTCTGAGTGCTGCGTTTCAAACTTCTCCTGGAGGACAAAACTGACACTGAGTGTGTGATTTAACCTTCTGATAAGCTGTGTTTATCTCCCTTCCCTGTCATTTCCTTAAAATACTGAGGGATTCCTGGAACATATGCTCTCCTGTTGGAGTGGACACTACTGTTTTTAGCTTGTGAGTGTCCGATCCTCCCCGTGTGCACAGCTCAGCAGCACCCTGATTTCTTTAGGGGACTTACCTCTCCCATATCATAGGATCTTTATGGGACCGGTCTTCACATCACACTAAGGAGGCTCCAGACATTCTCGTAGCCTCCCACCACAGCCAGGCCACAAGCCTAACCTCAGCCAGTAGAACCTTCTCTCCACAGATATGGACTCTGAAGCAAGTGAGGGCAGAGCGAGAATGGGGGCCACCATTCAAAGTTGTTATGTCCCAAGTACTTCCCACCTCTTGGCCCACAAGCATCTTGCAGCCCGCCCCCTCCTGAACTTGGTCCCTGCAGCCCCTAAGTGTCAAGACCCCCAACAATCTTCAAAGGAATTATTTTACTCAAGGTGTCCAGAGCCATGGAAAGCCATATAAACCTCTCCAAGCCTCATCCACAAACAAGGGCAATACCAATCCACTTCATGTGACATCCCTGGATTGCATATCAGGAATCACAGTAACTTTGGTTGCTTGTGCCTCACCGTAAGAGCAGGAAACCATGTACTTAGTCTGACAACTGTTTTAACTTTGTGATCCAGGACACGCCCCTGTAGCATGGGGGAGTTAGAGGACTTTTGTACCTTTGGGGGAAGGAAGGAAGGAAGGAAGGAAGGAAGGAAGGAGGGAAGGAGGGAAGGAGGGAAGGAGGGAAGGAGGGAAGGAGGGAAGGAGGGAAGGAGGGAAGGAGGGAAGGAGGGAAGGAGGGAAGGAGGGAAGGAGGGAAGGAGGGAAGGAGGGAAGGAGGAAGGAAGGAAGGAAGGAAGGAAAAAAGCCCCACAACCTGTTATTAATTATCAAAAGAGCTTAGTGTGATGTGACTAGTGCTTTCCAAGGCAAGAACTAGTCAAATGACTTCATGATCTGTTGCTGCGCAATTTCAGCAACTAACATTCATCGCATGCTTACTCTGGGCCAGCTTCTTGGCTCAAGATAGTTCTTACGTTGGCTCATTTAATGCCACTTCAGAGACATGAACTGGGGCTACTTCATTAGCCCAAAGTCAACTGGTAGCAAATGACTGAGCCAAGATCCAATGTGGGCCCCTGGGGCTTGTGCTCATTAAACAACTATGCTTAAGTGCCCTCAAACGTTTCCTTCCGGGCCACAGAGGTATCGACCACACATGCACACGCACACATACATTCTGCTTTGACTACTCTTTCAAATCACCTTCCTTCACCAAAAACCCTTACTGCTTTCCCTTCATCTACACACGAAAACACGTCCCACAGGAAAGGCCCAAAGTCTAATTAGAAAGTTTGAGGGGTGCCCGGCTGGCTCAGTTGGTAGAGCATGCGACTTTTCATCTCAGGGTTTTGAGTTCAAGGCCCACATTGGGTGTGGAGATTACTTTAAAAATAAAATCTTAAAAAACAAAACAAAACAAAAAAAACAGGGTGCCTGTGGGGGCTCAGCTGGTTAAGCGGCTGCCTTCGGCTCAGGTCGTGATTCCAGTCCTGGGATCGAGCCTCACGTCCGGCTCCCTGCTCAGTGGGAAGCCTGCTTCTCCCTCTCCCTCTCCCTCTGCCTGCCGCTCTACTTGTGCTCTATCAGATAAATAAATAAAACCTTAAAAAGAAAAAAGAAAAAGGAAGCTTGAAAAACAGACACACTCTTCTTTCCTCAGTCGAGTAAACAAAGGCGTTGCTAGAAAACAGTCGGGATGCACGAGGAAAATGACATAATGGTACTTGGGCCAGAGAGGTGTGGTGAGAGCAGCGTGAGAAGAGCTCCCACAGAACAAGCAGATCCTTTACAGGGTGGGGACAGGGAGGGCATTGCACATCCTCAGGCTGCTCCATCCCCTCTGATACTCTGTTTCCTGGCCACGAGCAGAGGAAGCAACTCCCCTCAGCCAAGGAGGGGCCGACCAAGCCCCACGCAAGGGCCAGTTCCCAGGGCTGGCTCTGACAGCCTCACCCCCTTCATCTGGGTGCATCTCCAAACAAAACAGGAGCGCAAAGAATCCTACGTCATTAACCTCAATTCAAACCCAGTTTCTAAGATGATGCAGTTAATGGGCTTCTCCACCAGCATAAAGATGCAAAGGATGACCTTTGAACTCGTGGACATGAAAAGCCGTTGCTAAATATTGTGGTTTCATTTGGGGCTAATTATAATAAGCTGTCAGCTGATGAAGGCATCAACAGACTCTCTGATCCCTTATAGGCCTACAGGCCTTCTTATTCAACTTGTGGTGAATAAGCCAGTTGTCAAGAAGTCTGACTCAGTTGAAAACATTTCTCTGGGGTGACTGACAGATACTTGCTGGTGGCAGTTTTTTTTTAAAGTAATCTGTACCCCAACATAGGGCTCGAACTCACGACCCTGAGACCCCGAGTCACATGCTCCAATAACGGAGCCAGCCAGGTGCCCCGGTGGCAGTTCTGTTTACCCAGGCATTTCTATTTCTTCTGCTTTACGCTCTGCACCTCAGGCATCTGTCAGGTGGTTGTCATGAAGAGGTCCTCTGCAAGTTCAAAGGCTCGGTCTTGAAACAGTTAATTACTTCATAATTGCTCGACAGGAGTCGGCCTCCATGGAGGGCCCGGTCCCTCTCCGGACTATGGTTCACACCACCCATCGTCCTTCCACACAGTGTCCCGTCCCTGAGTCCCCTTCAAGTTAAGCACCACGATTCCTCAGTGCCAGTGGCAGGGGTCGGGCTGCCCACAAAATGAGGGGCATGGACCAGGTGCAGGGATAAAGCAAAGGACACTTATCCCTCAGTGTCAGGGATGGGGGTGGGGGACAGTAGTGGGGACTGGGATGGGCTGGTGGACACTTGCTCGGTCTCAGCAACCGCTGCCCGGAGTTTCACTGGTGTGGAAGAATGCAGGCCTGGCATGCTGATTCTCAAAGGAAGTCAGAAATCCAGACTTGTACACAAAGCCTCACAACTTTGAATATTGATATTAAATACTTAAAACACTAGGGGCGCCTGGGTGGCTTGGCTGGTTAAGCATCCAGCTCTTGCTTTTGGCTCAGGCCATGATCTCAGGGTCATGAGATCGAGCCCCATGTGGGGTTCTGTACTCGGGGTGAAGTCAGCTTGAGATTCTCTCTCCCTCTCCCTCGGCCCCTCTCCCCACTCACACGTGAACTGTCTCTGAATAAAATCTTTAAAACAACACTAAAGATATAAATTTTACTATCAGGGCGCCTGGGTGGCTCAGTTGGTTAAGCGACTGCCTTCGGCTCAGGTCATGATCCTGGGAGTTCCGGGATCGAGTCCCGCATCGGGCTCCGTGCTCAGCAAGGGGTCTGCTTCTCCCTCTGACCCTCTTCCCTCTCGTGCTCTCTATCTCGCATTCTCTCTCAAATAAATAAAATCTTTAAAATAAATAAATAAATAAATAAATAAATTTTACTATCAAAAGAATGAACTGTAAACAAACCCTCAACTCTAGTTAATAACAGCACGCTGCAGTATTTACAGGGAAGTGTATAGATGTCTGCAAGTCACTTTGAAATGCATCAGAAAGCTAGACTGATGTATGGATAGATATGTAATAAAAAAACAAGTATGGCAAAAAAAAAAAAAATCAAGTATGGCAAAGGTTATCGGTAGAGCCTAGATGGTGGATATACAGGTGGTCACTGGAAAATTCTTTCAACCTTGCTGCGTGCTTGAAAACTGTCATGATAAAATGTTGAATAAAAACCACGGAAGACTAAGCAAAAAACATCAGTGGGCCAGACGGATCTGTAGATGTCCAGTGTGGGCTTTGCGGTCTACAACATGAAAGCTTACACTCCACTGCTCAGCTTCTGAGGTCTTTGGGGATCTTTCCTCTGCCCCTCCCCATCCCTCAACCCCCAATCCATTTGTGGGTCCCACTTTTTCCTATGCGCTACTAAAGCCAGGATTCTCGAGTCTGCTCGACATCCATTCTTGTGTCTATGGAAGGTCCAGATTAACTATTCATTAACCCCTAAGCCCCAACCTGCTGGCTACGTGTGCACATGCACACACACAAGTGCATACACACTCCCTTCACCTTCAAACATCAGCTCAAATCCCTCCCAGCTCCCCCGGGAAGCTGTCTCCAGCTCATGCAGACCCTTCTCTCAGAAGGATCTCTCAATCAGTACTATGTAACTGAGCATCTTTTTCCTTAAGTGCTTTTGGGGTTAGGTTTGTTTCCCTCACAAAGCTTCCAGAGCTCTAGGAGCACATCTCCTTCCAGTATCCACCACACCTCGCCCTTGGTTCTTTCCCCCCAGCAGCTCATCAAAATTTACATGGGGAGCTTTATTTTTAAAAATGAAGAGGCACCTGGGTGGCTCAGTCAGCTAAGCAGCTGACTCTTGATTTCAGTTCAGGTCATGATCTCAGGCTCTGCACTCAGCAGGGAGTCTGCTTCAGGATTCTCTCTCTCCCTCTCTGCCCCTCCCCACTGCGCACTCTCTCTAAAATACGTAAAGCTTAAAAAAGAAAAGACATGCAGACATGCCTAGGTCCCCCCAAGACTTACTCAGATCAGGAATCTCAGGGTGAGGGTGGGTTCAAGCCTGCCTGGCTGTGAGGGCTAAGAGACGCAGTCTGCAGGGCACGGGCAAGTGCTTATCTGCTAAGCCCTACAGAATGTCCAAAAGGCAGTCTTTACCCTTTGGACCGGTGGTGCTCCTGATACTTGGCAATGTCGACAGGTATTTCTGGTTCTCATAAATCTTGGGGGGAGAGGGTGCCCCTGGCATCCAGTGGATGGAGACCAGCGATGCTGTTCAACACCCTACAATGCAAAACTCAGCCCTCACTGCAGAAAGTTACCGGACCTCAAAGGTCCACAGTGTTCAGGTTGAGGAACCTGCTCTAGACTGGCACTATCTAACAGAACTTTCTGTAATGATGGAAATATTCTCCACCTCTCTGTCCAATAACGATACCCACTAGAGATGTGGGCCTGCTGAGCAGCTGAAATGTAGCTAGCAGAAGGAAGGAATTACGTTTTTATTTTATTTTATGAACTTAACTGTCAATTCACTGGGCAGCATAACCCTGGACTTTGTATAATCTAATGATCAGCAAATCCGGTGACACCCTATACTCCAAAAATGTCTACCTTTCACATGCCTGGTGGGGTTGTGATAGACAGCCAGGAATGACCGTGGGGATACATGTGTGACTTGCTTCTCACAGAGCTCCTCCCAATGGGGGCAAAAAAGATTTCTAACACCACTTCCACCCAGCAGGTCTTGAGGGAGGAGGGAGCACGCCCAGGGCTGGCCAGGGGCCCCCTCGCACAGCCGGGCTCGCTTTCCCAGGCACACACATGCCACGCTGGAAGCCTGTCTGGACGTGCTGTCCATGTCCTCTCACCTTGATGGTTTCCAGCTCCATGCGAAGGCGGTTATTTTCCGACAGGAGGTCCCTGTTCCTGGTTTCAATCTGTTGCAGCTGCGTCTCCAACTCAGCTTCATATTCACGGCTTCCCTCCTGGAATTCTCGGAGCTCCTCTTGCGTGTTCTCTGCCCTACAGAAGTCCCAGACGCATTAGGCAACCATTTACTGAGCACCTAGCCATGCTGTGGAGGGTGATGCATGGATTAGCTTGTTTGTCAACCACCTTTCGAGGCAGAAACTAGGCTTACCCTCATTTCACAGGTAAGGCTGAAAGAAGATGTGACTTGTCTCAACGTCATGTGAGTCAGAAGCAGAGCTCAGACCTGAACCCACATCTGCCTGACTCCGAAGCTATTTCTCTACCAATTCACTCCCTGCTCATTCATTCAACGTATTTGGTTTTTGAACTCAACGTGGAGTAAATATCCTTGGGATTGCGTACCCTCTGCAGATTTACTTATAAGCAGGAATTGGATCTAATATAAATGTTTGCTCACTCCACCACTACAGTGTGCACCTGGCCAACCCCAGACACCCAGTTCCAGGGCCTCGATCCTTAGAAGTAAGCAACGCTTTTTTTTTTTAATACTAAACCTGAGTTATCTTATAGTCAAATTAAGAATAAGAAAATTAGAAGGACCGGAATAAGACCTCCATGTGGAGAATATGAGTCCATGAAAAATAAAAAGCAATGCTAAACACACACACATACACACTACTCCCAGATATGGACACTGAACCGCTGGTTCCACATTTAAAATCTGCAAAAACCCATACTGTCAGGCATGGGGACTGACCAGATACAACATCCCCAACTGATAAAACCCTTCCAGAAAATAGGACGGGAAAGAGCACAGCAGTTTGCTCAGGACTGGAGGCTTTGACACTCCCGTTCTAGCCCAGCTGCTTACTGGCTGGTGTGACCTCGGTGGGCAAGTTATTTGCCTTCCCTGAGGCTCAGTTCCTCATTTGTAAAATGGGGTGATAACTGTTTCCTCATGAGGCAATTTTAAGATGTAACGGACAGAATGTGTGTCAAGTCCTTTGTAATGCTTGTCGCCTCAGAAGCCCCAAACTGAATGGTAGCTGCCACCAGGATGGGAAGAAAAAGCAGGGTGGACTCGGGAAGACTGACCTCTGCTTGTAAGTCATAGCCAGATCTTTCCAGTAGTTAGCTTCTTCCTCCTCAGAGCTGAAAGTCTTTCCCGAGTCCTCCATGGTGAAAACAGAGCAAGAGGTCACTCTTCTTGTGGCATGGTGTCTAGGAGAGAAAGCTTTATAATTACTATCCATGTCTGGTTAAAGAGCTTATTTTTAATGTGTTGGTGGAGGGGAGAGGAAGCTCCTGAATTTTATGTTGGATTAAATGATAAAACATTGCCAAAAACTGAAACCAAACCCAGACAAAATACAGCCCACCCACGTTACATTCCATGAATAGATAAAATTACCAGGATTTTATTCATTTCATGGGGGGGGGGGGCGCAAGGAAAAAAAAAGGAGGGGAGGACATCTCTGGGGTTCTGGTTTCAACAAGAGGTGCCACCACCATCCCCATCACCAGAGATGAAGAACAGAAGTCTTTAAGGCGAGAGGATAATGAGCCCAGTTTGGGATATTTCTAGTTTGCCAGTGACACATCCAGAAGCAACAGCAGATCTGAAACTCTGGGGTGAACTCTGGCCTGACACAAATGTAAGAGTCCTGAGCCTGTAGCTGCTTCTTCCCTCTTTGTCGTGACGGAACTGCTGGAGAATCTAGTGAGTACTATTTATGGAACGCTGAGGAATGCCAGTGTTTGACTGGTAGGCAAAGAAAGAAACAGTAATCTAAGGAGACAGGGGACAAATGAAGAGACAAGAACCAGAGAGTGAGCTGTCCTGGCAGTAGAGAGATGGTGTCAAAGGGAAAAGGACCGGTCCACAGTATTCACGATACAACAGAGAAACTAAGAGAAGGACTGGAAAATACCCAGGAGACTTCGCGAAATGTCGGTCACTGGTGATGTGAGCAAGAATAGTTTCAACACAGTGCGGGGGGGGGGGGGCGGAAATTGGGCAGAGGAGTTACAAGGAGGTAAAGAGGAAGTAGAGGAAATTTTGGAGAGCTGGGTGTGAGAAGCAGACAAACGGGACAGTAGCTACAGGGCAGGGGGTAGGAATGGGGCCTTGGCTCTGAGGACTTGGAGAGATCCAGAGCAGAAGCTGGGGAACGGATCTCTATGAACAGCGGGCCATTTACAGACTCCGGCTGACAGAGCCTTATTTAAGGCTCTGAGCTTGTCATAAGTTCATCAGGAATCCAAATGAGATGTCTCCAAAGTCCCTTCCTTCCCTCAAGGGAGCTCACAATCGGATGTCCTCAGGGACAAAAGAATGAACACAACTCCTCACTTTGCAAGGCATAACAAGCTGTTTGGTTTGGTTTGGTTTGTTTTTTTAAGAGAGAGAGAGAGCTGGGGGGGGGGTGAACAGAGGGAGAGCATCTTAAGCAGGCTCCAGTTCAGAGCACAGGGCTCGATCTCACGACCCTGAGATCACAACCTGAGCCGAAATCAAGAGTCAGACACTTGACTGAGCCACCATAACAAGCTATATTTTTTTACTACAAATATTAATCATTCAGCTAAATATGTTAGTGTTAACATGGACACAATCAGCAACTTCTGGATCCCTGGTTAAAAAAAAAAATCAAACAATTATATTCAAGCACAGCCCTTATTGATAACTAGATTTGTTAGTACCTATACTCACATCTCTTTCCTAGTTTTTCTCCCTTCCCTCATTCAGAGACAACATGCGATGTGCCCCACCCATCCCCTTCTGGCGAACAGTTTCTCTGAAAGCTGGATGGAAGCACAGAAGCTGCAAAAAGTAGAAAGCTGTTCATTTGTTGATCTTTCTCCAGTCCAGCATTTCTTCTTCCAGCTTTCTGTAACACCACTCCAATCTTGGGGAAACCAACCCTACATTCATTCCATGTGATTCAGATGTACTTGACATCAGCATCTAGGAGGCACAACACAGGAGGGATGCCTCCAGCATCAGTAACTGGCTCAGAGGAGGGCCGAACCCAAGCTGAGCCAATGACAGGGGTGGGCCGAACCCAAGCTGAACCAATAACAGGATGGGTCTAACCCAAACTAGACCAATGATTGGTTCAGGGGTGGCCCTAACCCAAGCTGAGCAAATCAGTGTCAAGGGCTTTTGCAGAGCGATCAAGAAAGACACTCTGGAAGTGTTAACTAACCTTATTGTGGTAATGGTTTCACAATATATTCGTTTATCAAACCATCATGTTATATACCTTAAACTTACACAATGTTCTATGTCAATTATATCTCCATAAAGCTAGGAGAAAAAAGAAAGAAACTCTTCCCACTAGGGTAAGATGGTAGGAGGTAAGCATGGAGCTGCCAGTGATTATCCTTCCATCACAAGGGAGGAGTCTGCCAGAGAATGAAGCCAAAACAGAGGAAAGCAGAGCCAAGAGGTGGAGACGCTGGGTCCTGATGATCTCATTTGAACACCTGGATCCAGTCATACCTGATTTAAGGTTATAAGAGATAACCAACTCCCTTTCTTGACTATACCAGTTAGGGTTGGATGGCTGCCACAGAGGGTCCTAATTAAGGTAGGTAGTGAAAGATGTTGTTTGCTGAAAGTAAAAAGAATTAGAGCACCTAGAGTGTAAATAACATCAATTAACATGGCAATGGGTAAGGGTAAACTTAGATGCAGTACTCCCTGCTCAAGTCTTAAGCTCTAATGAGCCCAGAACTCATCTAATATGAAGTCACCAAACCAGTCCCTATAGTGTCAAGAGCCCATGCAACTGAGTGCCGTGTGACCATTATCTTATTGAGGATAGTCTCAACTGCATGGCATGAGAGTCTGTGTAGTAGGGCGAAACAGTTAGGAACTAGGAACAATGGATGTAGACTGGTTTTTCCTGCTGTTTGGGAAAATATCATATCTAATATTCAATGTAATTAGTTCCTGCCTACTTCTCTAAACATTCCCCAACCCTACCCACCCGCCTCCAGGCATTAGCTTATGTTCAAGCCACATGGCCTTCTTTCTGTTCCTTTTTTTTTTTAAGATTTTATTTATTTATTCGACAGAGAGAGACACAGTGAGAGAGGGAACACAAGTAGGGGGAGTGGGAGAGGGAGAAGCAGGCTTCCCGCGGAGCAGGGAGCCCGATGCGGGGCTCGATCCGAGGACCCTGGGATCATGACCGAGCCGAAGGCAGGCAGACGCTGAACGACTGAGCCACCCAGGCGCCCCCTTCTTTCCGTTCCTTAAGCACAACACACTTGCTCCCCACCTCAGGGCCTCTGCACTTGCTGTTCTCTGCCTAGGTATTCTCCTTGTCATTCAGATCTCAGCTGAAATGTCTTCCCCAGAGAGACCTTATTTGAATACACCACCAAATATCCTCTCTAGCCCTTCACTATTTATTAACCTCTGCTTTATTTCATCATTTTGAGTTTTGTTTTTAATCTTCCCCCACTGGAATGTCAATTGTTGAGCACAGGGGCTTTCTCCATCTTGCTTTTTTAGCAAGAACAGTGCCTGGCATGTAACAGGCACTAAATAAATGCTTGTGGAATGAATGAGCAAAGGGAAAGATAGAGATGGACCACTAGTAGGAAGGGGATGTGAGGTTAAGGAAAAGCAAGAAGCCATAAACCTCTGAAGACTAGTTTATGGTTGACATCTGTACATCCCTAAGAGGCTTGGCAGGATGGGGGAAAAGCCCACACTCCCTCAGCACCTGAGTGGCATCTCATTAGTGGAAAGTGGCAGGAGAGAATACCTTGTTGGAAACTAACCCCTCTCCAGGTGTACATGATAAGGAGCATCTGATACTGTTCTTGGGGTTTAATGTTCACCCTGCATTCTTATGACAGCTGAGTTTTGGGGAAAAAAGCTTCCTAAATAAAACACTTATGGCCAGTGAGGACTAAAAATCCTCAGGAAAGAAACGAATTTGAGATGTTTTAGGAGGCACTTCCATTGCACGAGAGGCTCTAATTACAACTGCGCTGATGGGAAGGTTCTGGTTTTGGACTTCAGGGCCAGGGAGTAGGGGTGGTGGTGGTGGAAAGACGCTAAGCAGAGACCTGAGCTCCTGTCACAGCCTGCACCATCTGTAGCTCCTTCAACTAAAGGGCAAAAACCACAGGCCTGGCATTTCAACCCAAACCCCCCCTGCATTTTAAAAACAATCCTTAGGGAAGAGGAAAAATATATTATAGACTAAGAAGAAGCAACAGCCGAACTTCACTTTGTTCTGAAACAACAATCTTTAAAAATGTACGCTTTTTCCTTTGCCATCTGAAAATGTCTCACAGTTCCAATGTGCATTATTCTTTGCCACAGAAAGCTGGTAAGATGACTCGGAAAGAAAGACTCCCTCTCCCTATTGAACTGAACCACCGCGTGCTGGGTGTTTAACTTATCTTCAGTTTTATCCCCTTTAAGCCATTCGGCTATTAGGAGTAAGCAAGACATCACTTGGGTTCTTAGAAGCAGAAGCTGGAGCAGAAACACTGCACGCCTTGGCCATCTCCAGAGGTGCAAGTGGACAGCAGAGGCAAATCAGACCCAAGTGCAAGTTGGGGGGAGGGAGTGACTGGAGGGTCTTTGAATTCAAGTTCATGGTCTCCTTGGGGTTGCAAAGAGACTGTTCAGAGGTCAGATTCACTCATTTCATCTGGCCCCCAGTCTTTTCAAACGCACTGTGACAGGCACGGGTCTCGGTATATACAACTCTGTACCCACGATCTTAAAAATGGGCACTGCATGCCTTTCATTTGTGCTACAAGTGTTATAGGCATTCTGCCTCTGTGCTTCTGCTCTCGCACCCCAGGAGCTCTGTGGACAAACCTAATGGGCACCTCAAAAGTATATGCTACAGCAGGCAAGGGAGAACAAGCTGGGAGCACAAAGTTCAAAAAGTATGTATTCTCTATTTTGCATGACTTAGATCTCCCACCCCACCTTTGATTTCAAAACCCTAGAGAAAACAAAGCACTCTCCTTTGGCTTTCCTCTGAGTAAAGAAACCAGCATAGCTGGTCAGAAGCAGTACACACGTATAAACTATCAAGAATTAACTCACCACCCTTCTCCACGCCAAACTCAATCCTTCCCAATCAAAACAAAGGGAAGAGCTGAAGGGAAAGGGAGGGGACAGAAAGACACGGCCAAATGTCTGCACGTGCTTCAGCAGCTTCTAGGTTATGATG